CTTTTTTGTAGAATTTTAAGGGAATCTTTTAGTCTTTCTTGCTGAGTCAGGTCATCTCCCAGATTACTGTGGTAGAAAAAAAATCTTTTTTATACAAAATATCTTTCATCTATATCGTTTACCTGCCTTCCCAAAACAAAAATAGAAATGTAAAAGTAGACCAGTGTCTTCACAACGTATCAATGCCAGTTAGAGTCCAGTTATTCTTAAAGGTTAGTTAATGCTTCAGACCTCATTTAAAAAGTTGTTCAGTTGTAGAATCAATTGGATTTAGAGGTTTAGTGTCTAATAAAGCAGGTGTGGGTCAAACTATCACTGCAGTCTGTACATAATTTGTCTTGAAGTTTGATCGCTCTTAAAGTTTGATCATTCAATCATTTCAATTTAAAAAAAATAATTCTGATGTGCATCGTGAAAATGTGACAGACTTTTCACATTTGAAACTAACCTCTAAATTAATAAAATCGAGAAGAAGACGTAAAGACACAACAATGACAAAAAGGAGGGGAAGATCAATTTAAACATGTGATGGGCCTGTCGGAGGCTTACTTGAATGTTACCAGAGACGCAAAAAAATATTGTAAGATAATTTTTGAGAGAATATAGAAAAAGAAAATAAAGTTGTTCTCCAAAGATGGAGCGTTATGGTGAGAGAAAAGGGGGATTCTAAATTTAGCAAAAGAAAAATGACTAAATGTTATAGAAACCTTCATACATTTTGACAAAACTATTACAGAATTCCCAGGGGACATTGCATAAAATACAGCATATTTATGTGATTTAAATCTTAATGGTATTTTCAGGAACATGATTCTAGCATGGTCTTGGTGAAAACTGCTCAGGTAAAATTTAGGTCTGAGTTTTTATAAATATTCATGATAAATATAAATATTCTTAGACACTTATTGGAACTGACAACAGTAACTAAAAATGTTATCCTGTTGATTACTCTAGATACAGACTCTGCTTGCTAATTATAGCTTTAACCTGCTTTCCACTCAAAAATCCAATCTGACATGCTGAAATGTCTTAAGATATATATTTTCAACTGCTTGATAGAGCACTGTTTGGTGACTGTTGTCACCAAAGTGCACTTTGAGTTGGAGTTGGAAGAAGAAGTCATTTGACTGTGCGGTACAGGGGTTGTAATGTTAAACTGAGCTCGTTAATCACTATGTGGAAAGTGGCGATTCCGTACTTTAGGAAAATATTCAATATAGAGATATACATCTAAATGGACCACGGGTAATCCAAGTTATTAATTGTCTAATGAAGGTGCTGCGTTTCTGAAATATTACTACGTGGAAATTAACGGTCTTCCACTCCATTGTTGGTGCTAAAGTGATCAGAATGATATGGTCTTGTGTATCATTGCAACGGCAAATATCATTAATACATTTATTCATTTGGTAGCATGCGATCAATCTTGAGGAACCACAGATATCGCAGGGATGCTCGCACACTGGAAGATGAGGAGGAGATGTGGTTCAACACTGATGAAGATGATTTAGAAGATGGAGAAGCAGTTGTCCCTCCTTCAGATAAAATGAAAACCGATGAAGACCTCATGGACCCTATTAGCAAATTTATGGAAAGAAAAAAATGTAAGAACATCATCTGTTTTTCTTAAGCATAGATATTATTGTGTAGTCTTTGAACAGCTAAATTGAATGTTTTTTTAAAAAAAGTGTTTTGTTAGCTGCTTTGTATGGTATAATTTTGTTTAAGATATACTTAGGTTTTTTGTTTAATTCAAAATCCTTCCTAAAATAAAACTTTTTTTGATTACACCAGGCTTTATTGCCTGTATAATGGTAGAAACTTCAGGTTAAAGGCATGTCTTATGCATACTTCTTTGTTTCCAGTCAAAGAATCGGAGGAAAAGGAAGTTTTGCCTAAATCTAACCTAACGGGTCGGCAGAGTCCCAGCTTCAAGCTCTCCTTCTCTAGTGGAAACAAGACAACTCTCACCAGCCAGTCCTCAGCCAGTCACCACCCCGGCTCTCCTGGCTCTCCAGGCTCTCCGGGGTCCCCGGGCTCCCCGGGCTCTGTAGCCAAAAGCACACCACAGACGGCAGCTATCACTACCAAGGTACCAGCCTCTCTGTGTCATTTTCCATTTTTCAAATCCATCTCGTTTAAATGAGATTTAATGAAATATCTTCGGCAATTCCCTGGTGAATTATTTAGATATGCCAACTGTCCCCCCCCCCCCCCCCCCCCCCCCCATTTGAATCTGTTTTAATTGTTTTGGGAGATTGTTTCCCAAAGATGGCCTTCACAATATCTATTAATTTTATCCTCTAGGTTTTAGCAGGTCTCTGCTGCAATTCTAGAATATTTAGTGTTTTCAAAATATATATATATATTGTTTTCTTACAACAGTATTTCCGGTATGCAGTTCCTGTCTTTTTTCTATATAATATATATATTTCTGGAAGAATTTGCTTTGTAATATTATTCCTCAATTCTGCACTAAAATAACAGTATTGGAGTTTCCTTTTTAAGTAGGTATGATATGTGTCATTTGAAAAAGAAAAGGTCCAGTCGCATTGAGTTTTTATACAGCTTTTCTTGTTTCACACCTACAGCTATTTGGAATTACCCTTCTTGATATCAGTTCTAATTGATGATTTTCATGAATTTGCTGCCTGCAGTAAAGGGCATCTTGAGTTAAATACTATTGAAAAAGCAGGAATCTGCCTTTTTGTGAGATTTGTAGTGTAAGAATAGAAAGTGGCACGTGTCTCTGTGGAATGTCGAGGAAATTGTGTATTGCAAGTGCATTTTCATTCCATACAGTTTCAAATTAGTTTTACAGCTTTCATAATATGGTACATTTATAAGGTATGTCTCTAGGATGTGTTTTGCAAACATTTACTATGTTCTGATGGATTTTTCCTGATTGCAACTGCAATTTTTACATGATTGATCAGTACTGAAAAAGAAACCTTTTGTTGAATGACACAAGGCTTCCACAAGACAGAGTGCATTTTCCCATGTAGCACAGTGCTTATAGCAGTAAGCTGCTGTTCTAAATAGGTTTGCTGAAGATTTTTTGTATATGTAATCACCAAACCTAATGCTGCATTATTCACATTGCCACTCTTTATGTATCCATATGTCAAAAACAAAACCTTGTTAGTTTAAATGATAAATTCAAACATAGACCTGAAAAATCCATTGGCCATCTTTTGACAGCAGTGTTGTTTTTGCAAGATAATTACACTTGGTGTAATAAATCTTGGGGAAAAAGAGTTCTGAGTGTACAAAAAAACTGTCACTTATTTTTAAACCTAATTCCCTTGACAAAATCTCAGCAGATCTGAAAAGGTTTTAGCAGTTGTGTGAAAGTAAATAACTTTTTATTCATTGCTTATTTTGGAAATATATGCACATCATTAAAACGCATGTCAGAGAAGCAATTGGAAAATGCTAAATTCTTGACTCTTTGTGCCACAATATTGTTTGGATGATGTCTCTAATACTGCTCTTTTTTAACAGGGAGGTCTCGTGGGGCTTGTAGACTACCCCGATGATGATGAGGAGGAGGAAGATGATGTAGAGAACAAGGAGGAAAGTCCACCTCTGTCCAAGAAATCCAAGTTGGGGTCTTAGAAGTGACCCCCTACCCCCTGTCCTGGGCCTTTACTCCAACTTTACAGTAAAGTTTCACTTCAAAGAATAAAAAAAAAGAAAATTACAGTCCACATATTGCTGTGGTGGTATCTGGTGAGACAGATCCAAAAAACTCCAAATGGAATTCTGCTGATCAAGTGCCAATTTGAGGAGAAATTTGAAACAAGTGAACTTTTATTAGACATAAACAACATGCTGGGGGGGAAAACAAGACTGATGCCCATGAGCTTACGGGTTCGGACCACACTTTGCCCCTTTCTCAGGGATGGACAACACAGCAAGCCCATAGGGCACAGACGTTCAGTACTGGGACTCATCCTAAACTGATATGTTCAGTAAGAAAAGACTTTTTTTCTCGGACCAGATGCAGACACTTTGGAAGAAAAGGCTGTTGCTCAGCAGTATTTCTTCTCAGAAATGCCAGCAGTTTCTTTTTATAAAGAGACCTGCCTTTAAATTTTCAGGACGTTTTAAGTCGCACTAGAACAGGTTTTTAAAACCTCTGTAGGGGGAAGAGCTGAAAACATTTCCCCTGTTTTATCCTTTCCCTTTTTGCCCTTTAAACTGCAGATTTTGGAAATTTGTCATCCCTTCTTGATTAAAGATTGAGTGGAATTCTAGATGTGATCATTTTGTCATATCTTTTCATTTTCTTTTTATTTTCTTGAGTGTACACTTAGTTGTTGAGTATATTTGGGACCATTAAAAATGAGATCTTTGATGTAATATAATTTCACTGTTGTGCTGGTACCTGCATTGTGTTTTAATTTTTTTTTCCTGCACCAGAAAGTGATTCGGGTGTAATGGGTTATCTAAAAACTACATCTAGTAGCAATACTATTTTGTGACTGAATATTTTATATTGAAATTTACGAACTGTCAAATGCCGTCCATTACAATAAAACAGCACTGTAAAATTCTTATGTCACGCAATAATTTTAAAATGCGGTGGACTCCATAGACATTCAGTTTTTTTGTTGGAATATTCTGCATGTGAACAGGCCCCTTGTCTTGAGTTGTTTTTTTTTTATTGTGGAAAGTGCAAGCGTGTTGTCAGAAAACAAGTAATAAAATATTTTAGGGTTCTGTATATCCCCTGTACATAACACTGAAGACAGAATGGTTAAGGCAGTGGGTGTCGGTAATAAATACTGAATTAATGTGCAAGATTTGTAGTCCCAGGTGTTGGGGAAATGAAGCTGGACTGTATATCTGCGGAAGCCCCTTCACTAATTTGTTTCAAGAAAAGGAGGTGCAAATTTCTTTATTTTCAGTATTTAAAATAAGGTTTGAATCATATGTTTGTCAGCTTCAGTTACAGGAAGGGTGGGTAGAACTAATCGGAATGGGGGAGGATGTGTAACCTTAAAAACAAAGCATTTCTGTTAAGTCAGTATGGTGGTCCATCTTTTCTAGTCAGATCTTTGTTTTTTACCTCTCATTATTGAGATACTACAAGTTTATCGGTGATTTGCTTTGCCGAACAGTAGATGCCTCCCACTCTCTACTCGATATTACTGATCCATTTCTCCCTATACTCAATTTTGAACCCATTGACCGATCCAAGATGCTGAAAATTAAATGATGCTACAATGCATCCAATACCAGCTAGCTTGTGAGTTCTGTTAAAAGAGTACAATGTCTCCAAGAATTTTCAACTGGCCACCTAAAGAGCATATAAAAAAAAAGGGTTAACAGGTGAGAGGAGGCCATTCGCCTCCTTAGACACCTTACCTAACAACCTGTCGTCTAGCGAGAAGGCTGAGGGATAAAAAAGGCAATCTGCTTGGTTTTGATTTTGAAAGATCTTGAGCACTGTAGTAAAAACAAATTTGAACCAATGTAAAATGACAGCTTGTTTCCACTAATAATATGCTGAGACTTCACAATGATTTACTGTTGTAGTCAAATTTGTTGTAATATTTAAGATGGTCATTTATACTTTCTTTGCAAAGGTGAGCTACTGAAAAGAAGACCTAGGTTTATCACTAGCTTTACTCACCTAATTGTATTGTATTAACTAGCAGCTAAATTTAGTATTTCTCGAAAAAGCCGTTCTTGGAGCTGATGCTTTGAGTGTGAGGTGTGACTAGCAATATTCAGTATGTGCCTGGTTGAGATTTATGCTTTATGTTATGCAACTTTTGAAGTTAGTGAGATGAAAAGTGAATTAAACTCTAGTAAGATCCCTTCATTATTGCAAATTCTGGAGTTTTGAAAGTGATGATGGACCAGTAGGTGGAGCATTTTCTTTTGGAGTTGCACTACAGTTTCGAAACCAGTGTCCCAGTATAGTGATTGGGGGACAGTGTTCTATAGGAGGCACTGTCCTTGGGACGAGATGCTTACTACTTGGTCATTGAAGTTCCCTTGGAGCTTTCCCAAAGATCAATTTACCAGGGTGCCTTAGAAGATATTCACTAATAGATAATATTAATAATAAATACCAAAATTACATTTAGATACAGTAGGAAAAGTGAAGATCTAAATGACGTGAAAAACAACAGTGAGGCAGGCATGTGTTTTGCTGTGCAGTGCTTGTGCAGAGCACTGTGAATACAATGCTCTTTGAACAGTATACAACAAGGAAAGCCTCAGTAAAGAAGGGAGCAGAGTACAGTATCAAACTGGGGGAAGACGATGAGCTGAGAGGTAGGGGGAGATGAAGGACTGGATGTGCTTAAGACCTTAGTAGGCAAGAATTAGTATTTTGAAGAATTAGTGAAGGTATGGGTGACCAGTGGAAAGGACTAGACTCCGAGTAATGGCCTGAGTTGAGAGAGAAGAGGCAGGACTGATTGAGTTGGAGAGCATGAATAGCACTTGCCAGGAAGGAGGTCACTTAACTGTGATCTGGAAGTATATGCAGATACTTGCTGTGGACGAAGTAGAAAACGGATTGTAAGTAGAAAAGAATTTGGAGTAGTGTATACTGTACTAGCATCACTCAAGTGGGGGCTGTCAGTAGTGAGTGAAGTGGCTCCTTATACATCCACTTTCATGTAAGGTATTTTTAGATCCTTTCAGTTGCAGAACACTATGCACTGAAGTAATTAGTAGCTTCATTTTGATATAGATGTGACTGATGCAATCGCTTAATGGTGAAAAAGTGTTGACACCACCATTAAGATGAAGCAAAAGAAATCCCAGTAGAATAAACCATGGCAATCTAATAGTTATTATATGTATTGTTTTATCATAAAAGTATTAATTCCCATTCATTGATCTTCTTGATAAGATTGTGATGTTTGTCCACTGGGGGGCAGACTCACCATTAAAATAGTAGTTTATTTGGCTGAACACTTAGGCTGCCAGAAGCATTTATTAGGCAATTAAAATTTTACTATCTAGAGACCAAGTCAGAATAACAAAACCACTTTCATCTGTACTTTGCTCACAGGGGTCCATTTAATGATCCCATTTAAGGGCAATTATTACTGCCAAAACCCCTTCAGATCTTGCTTTTTAACTTGAAATGGTATTTTTATAATATTGTCAGGTACTATCCAGAACCAGTAATATCGTCAATTGTGACTTTTAACTGCATAGTAGTCGTGATTGGCTATGCTGATGTTTCATGATCTGTGCTCAGTCTGTTTATTTGAAATTTAAACCTTTATAGTTATTTACAGTGATTCTGTGCTAGATTACACTGTCCTGCAGTCTTAGAGCTTTAGCAGAGACAACCTCTGAAGTCTCATGTTATAATTATTGGTTTACAATATGGGAAACAAAAATCTCAAAACAATATTGAGTGCTCAGACTGTATAACAGTGATCTTATTGTTGTATTCTTGCATTGACTGGTCACACAAACAAAGGCGTGTTTCCTCTGTTCAGTGTTTTGACCTTGCAGGAAATAGCCAGTCTGTGACTTTGGCAGTTTCTATTATGTCAGGACCGAGCCCTGGTCACATGACTGGTTTGTGTCAGTTTCTAGGAAACCTGGGGAAACTGTGAGCAATGCTGCTGTTAAAAGGCTCTGAATGACACTCCTTGCTGCCACCATGTAACTAGGAATATGAATCTTGGAATTTATTAAGGTTACAACGAATGAAAGGATGTTCAAAGGGAATTTTAGTTTAAAAGTTTTAGTGCATACCTAGCTATTTGTTTCAAGTTTACATAAACTATTTTGATTTTTTTCTGCTTGTTTTTTAAAAAAATTGAATAATGATACAAACGAAGAAATGAAGAAACAAAAGTAATGGGAGTAATGACATTAAATTTTACAGAGTGGTCTTCGTTACCCCCCAAAGTTTGACTGCAAGAAAAATTGCACCACAAGACACAATTAAAATTCTTAAATTTACTGCCCCTTACAATGGGCTATGAAAACACGACAGATAAATAACTTAGAATTACTAAAAGGTGAGCCTTTTCTGTTCAACTCGGATGACCAGTTTTGATCAAGAATATAATTTTGTGCTACTTTAAAAATGATTAAAGCTTGTTCCTTTTATAAAACTTATAAAACTGACGTGACATCAATAAAAAAACATTCTTAAAAGTGTTTTCAAAGGCTCAAAGATGAATAAGAAAGTTGGAGGGTCTATTGTTCCTTTTATAAATATTTCTCTTTGAAATGATTTTTAGACAATCTAGCAGTATATTGATATTGACTAAAAAAAACAGTTGATTGCTGTGACTGCTACCAAAAGTATTTAAACTATATTAGTTTAAATGTTTTTATAAAAGTATATTAAACCTAAAATACTTTCGGGGCAGTAGATTTTCATTTTCCCTAAATTAATTAGATTACTATTTCATTAGCACTTTTCAGATGGTGCCTAAGGCAATGGACTCTGATGGACGTTTCAGTTTGCTTACCCTATGGAAACAGGGCCACCCAACCAGGAAATCGTTAGACACTGTTTGCTTGACCTTTGAAGATCCTGAAATGCAAATGAGGCCTAACAGCTGAGAGGAACACACCCACAGTCTTGGGGACCAAATGGAATAAATTGGAGTCATCCAACTGGCCAATCAAAGATGCATTTACTCATATAACACAAAAAGGATCCCATGCCTGGCTGTAGTATTGTGCGGAAAAAGAGGGGTTCTACACCAACTGGATTGCAATGGTTTCAGAAATGTCAAAATACACTGTCCATCAGTGAGCACAGAACAATGCACAGGCCAAGGTAAAACAGTCAGACTCCCATCAAAAACCTGTAACTCCCTTACAGCATCCTGGTTTCTTGTATTTGCTTTGGTAAGCTTTCTCACTTTTGCACTCTGTATGCAGTGTAATGCTGTATATATTGATACACATAAGGGGTGCATACTCTGAAAAATATAAGCATCTGTCTTCAATACAGACCTGTTCAAGTTGGGGTATTAACTTAAAAGCCTCCATTTGAGTGATGGCTCCCACGCAGCAGAAACTACAGCTGCTAACACAACCAGGCTTCGCAGAAGAGCCACATAAAACCAATCACGGGTATAACAGGACTCGGTGATCCTACATTATCGGGAGGGGTGGGCTCCCTGCGTTTATTATAATTGTCCTTTCTTCAGCTTCCAGCCATGTACCTAAGCTGGCTGTGGTCTGTGGTAAAAAACAAACAGCAGTTCTCTCTTTTCCTTGCAGCTTCACCAAATCATAGATTCTCTTTAAATCACAATATAAAAACAATTTCGAATGTGTAAAGGTACGCTTATGATTATTCATACCATTCTCCAAAGCGTTATAGTCAGTAATAGAAATGACAGAGTGGAACAAACACAGGTATTATCAAAAGTAACTGTAATTTGTGTGGTCCAACAGTGTGTCACACCAAAACGTAATGCAGCGAAGTGAAAATGCATTTTAAAATGGGTAGCCCTAGCAAATGATTCAGATATAGATGTACTGTACAGAAACATGTTTATGCTAAAATGATTAATATTAATAAAACGCTAAAGCATGCGAAAAAAATATTTAGATGAAGAATGCTTGACTTCTGCTGCTGTTTTTTTTTTGTATTAGACGCTTTTTTTTCATTAACTATCTGCGCTCTTAAAGGAGCGACGCTGAACCCAGCACACGGATTCTTGGCGCCCTTCTCGCGTGAGAACAGACCAGGGCAGCTGTGTCAGCACGAACAGACAGAATCTGCGGCGGGCTCACCAGAAACTGTCGGGCTTCCGGGCGGCGTTATTTGCTGAATATTTCGTTCATCTAAGAGTTACCTCTGCTTACCAACATCTCGCAAAGATAATGATCAGAAATGCGAGGGGTTGTTGACTTTTTAAAGTTTCCAGCACCAAAGTCTTTATCATGAGATTAAGCTAAAGCAAATATCCATTGAGGTCTGCTGTTGCGTGAATTAGTGCAGATTTCACACCATGCGGTGCTGCCTGAACATCTATAAAAATATTTTTTTTTCTGACAAAGCAATATAGTGTATGTCATTATCGACAAAAACCTTGGCACTACAATGCAATTTCTCCAGTTTTTACTGTGTCTAGTTCTGCTTCCAGTAATATGCGGTATGTCCATATAATTTATGTTATTCTTTTCAGGTTCGTCTAAAATGAGATGTATCGGACTTTGCTCCAGCGATTATTCTGATATTAATTATGCTGAAATGATAAAAAAAACTCTGCCCCACCTCTTCAGCTAACAGACTCGGCAGAACAGACGTCACATTCCCAGTTCCTTTGGTTTTCACTTAAAAACGGCATTGCAAAGACTACTATGGGAACAGGCACCGTTCTCTAACATTTGAAATTGATTCAATGTTCTTTTAGTTGTGAAAGGTAGGAGACGGGAGTAAAGAAGCATCTTCTCAACTCCTAAAAAGAAGAGAAAGAGAAAAGTGCACTCGTGTAATTATTTCCTTACTCCACAATAAAACGCATTTGGTGTGTTTGAGTTGTAACACTGGAATGGTAATGTTTTGGGGGATTAAGCCATAGAAAATAAGTGGTTAACGTAGTCACAAATATGTATAATTGTGGTGCACGTTAATGCACCTTTAAACACACAGAAACAGAACAGTGCAATCAAGAATAAACGATTTCCTTGTCCGAACTCGTGTTTCTATTGGGTCGACATTCTACAGAAGAGAAATACTAACACCTTGTGGGCAGGCAACACGGCACGATCTAATGCCATTAAGAAATGCATGTTTTAATCCTGACTCTCTCCTTTAACATTATTTGACATAACAGACACTTTGACACTTTAAAATCAGATTTAAGTAAGTTTAAAATCATCCTTACGGGTATAGATACACATTTCTAAAAACAAAACTACAGTTAAGTTAAATTTTAGTTTCCCAGCCATTACAAAATTGATTTTCCACCTGCTATCATTATCTTTAATCCTGCAGTGGGCGCTCTTGTGCTAATCTCGTACACCCCCAGCTCATAAATCGCCAACCCCTTTTGTCTCTGAACTAGCAAGAGCTCCAACAATGCCTTAACTGTTGGTTACGTCATTCAGAAATAAACCCAGACTTCTAAGCGTTTTCATTGGCTGCGTCATCCTCCTTTTTGCCCACCTCCGGAAATCTGATTTGCTGGAGGAGATGTCAGTGAAGAGTAAAGGTTGTTCTTGCGGTTACAGGTTGGATGCTGTAGAGAAGTAGCGCGATATAGTAGCAAGGTGGAGATAGTTGGTTGCTGTTTTTTTTTTGTTTCACTTGTAACATTTTCTCATTTTAACTACCTGGAACGGCTTTTCAGGATCAAAAATAACGTAAAGTTGTACAAACCGCAATCCAGCCACGTTTTAAAAACTTTTCTTGATTGCTTTTTCCTTAAAAAACTGGAAACAATGGCAATAGAGGGGATTACATCAAGCGAATATCTTGCAATGGAAACCCCAGCTATCTCATGCAAAATCGGGCGCTAATCTCGGTGTTCTGTTTTTGCCCCGATGCACTACTTTAAAATCAGAGCAAAAGAGAGAAAAAAACCAAATTGAAATTTTGCGGAAAACAGACGTCACAATTTCTGTAGCACTGGAATTTACACTTAAAACACGAGAACTTCGGATATTAGACTTGAAATCGGCACGGAGCTGCATTTGGTGGATGGGCTGAACTGTGTGCATGGGCTATTGTTTCCGATCTGCTGGGATGCCTAGTCTAAGCGTGGGCTCTCGCTTAAAATGGACCCATGATCTTTAATTCTGGAAGTAAAGTAACCATTTCAGGTGTTTGTTGTTTGCTGGAATATTGTACGCTTGAAAATGGATGTCACCGTCTCGGAATTAATGGCAAACTTTTTGGAGAGTCCACTGGTGATCTGGGTAAGTGTTGCATGATTGTTTTGATTAGATCTTTTGAAAATACATCCTCGCTGTCTTTGGGCAATCTACGCATTACATTGGCGTTTACATGTTTTTTGTATACATTATTACGAAATATTACAAATTTGGTAAATATGTCACATTTTGTAAGAAAAAAACAAAAATAATAACTATTCCATTGCGCAATGTATTACTTTTAAACTGTGTTTAACAATTGAGGGAGATCTGATCTAGGCTGATAATGAAAGCGAAATTGATTTTATTAGCGTCTTTTTTCCCCCAGCTTTTCATTTCTTGCAATAAAAGCTACCGTTTCAAGAGGCATTATAAAAACAAAAAGGCGCGGTGAACTAAACTTTAAAAAATTTTGGCTGGGAAAAAAAATTCTTATTGTTGAAGTCTGAATGATTACAAAATCTGATCCGTATTGAAGGTATAATGCACGTGAAATGACTCTGACAGTAGACACGCATGATTTCTGCTCAAAATCAGCTACTTCAAACGCCAGCGTTTTCCTGAGGTTAACTTAACATTTCCTATCGAAACAGCCTTGACTTTGGTTTAGATATTCACTATCATGTGATTACGATTTCACATGTTTTTTTTTTTATAGCAGGTGAACTGATCAAGAATCATATACCTAATAATACGACTGCTGCTTTGAAAGACATTTAAAAGCTGCAGTGTTACAAACACGCTAACTCCAGCACTGAGTTATCGTGTTCTTAACACCAGTGTTTCTGGTGACTCACACGGCAGTTGAATTGGTTACCCAGACAGTGGCCAGCCTAGATTGGACCAAGGTTTTGTTCCTGAATTCTCAAGGCCATAGAGCAGTGATATTAATTATTTTTCATTGAATTAGTGTGACATGATCTACATAGTTCTGTTGTGGAAAATCACCATATCCTACACGCTTAGTACTCGTCCAAGATATTAAGACTTAAACTCATAATTAATGAATTGCTTACTTACAGAATTGATCAAAACAACGGGATTTTGCTGGTTGTCAAACAAGCTGACTTTCTAAATGTAGATTTTATGCTGGATGGTAGGCTGCTGTATATGAAGTGTAATGTGAAAATGGTTGAATCCTGTAAGATGTTAAATACTTATCAAAATGTGCTTTTTATCACGTACTTCCTGATTTTCTCACCTAGTTGTGAGATAGTTGTGTCCGAGTTGAAATGTCTAAAGACATTGTGATGCAAAGCAAATAAAATCCCGAGTGAGCTGTGATTAACATTGTTTTGGCGCTGTTTTATTGACACTAAATCACATGTTCAACTCAATGTGCGTTTGCTGCTACTTGTCGGCCAATTCTTTGCATTTCAACATTATATTTGATTTTTTTTATAGAAGGCTTGTTGGGATCTTTAAGGGATTTAAACAAGATTTAATAATAGGTGTTAGATATTTTTGGGAACAATGATAGTTGTAAAGAAGGAAAAACTGATAAAATTGTAAGGGGTGAATCCTGTTAAATCTAGATAATTATGGTGTTAATTTATAGTTTGTCTCAGCTCATTTATAGCGCAGTCCCTCGGGATGAAACCTACAGCAGCTCGATGACCAGAATAAATGCAAGAGTGCTGTCAAGATGTCACAGCCGGTATCAAACCTGTAACCCACATCCCTTATGTATGTAACGCTCTGATTTGCTCCTCCCAGTCAGTTTTTCAGTCCTCTGGAGACAGTAGCTAGTAGTGCTGGTAGTAAACGCGGCGCACGCACTTTTCAAATTACAGCAGGAAGTATCAATCTGATTGAGTACCGGCAGCTTCGTGCAAGGGGATTTTCTGGACTTACCGGCGTTTTTTTCCTTTCGGTTGTGAACTTTCAAAAAGACACTGTATTTGCGCTTTTACAGAAGTCAAATTAGATATCTGACGAAACCGACTGCTACAAATGTATGGGGTTGAACGTTGAGTATTTAAAATGAAATCCTCCTGTCCTATTTCATTTTTCATGTCAATATTTTACTGGCTGGGCTGCTGTCTTTCTCGGTTTCTATGGAGCTTAAAACACTAGATATTACACGGCGCGTTAATTAACAATACGTTAATTAACAATATTAATGATAATATAGTGAGAAGACTGACTTGCACAGTTACTAGAAGGAGAAGGATTGTTTTGTTTTAAGGGCTGTGATGCTTTTTAAACTTTATTTTACATAGCATCTCCAAGTGCAGACACTTTAAAGTGCTTTACAGTACTTTAAAACAGCACATTTCGCTCTAAATTACCCTTGTTATTGTGAAGTGAAAAAATCAGAGCCGACATAAAAGATCACAAAGCTTTTAGACTAAAAAGCACCAAATGTGACTGCAGTCTTATTAGTTTGGAGTTTGGAGAGCTCTGAGGCACATCATCTGTTGAAAGAGTGCAGAGAGTAAGAGTAGTAAAAGAGAATCAGCTCAGCTGGTGTCAGTTGGAGAAGAGGAGGAAACCTACAGCATGACCAGTACATATTGGAGACCCCTGCCATGTAGGGCAATCAAGTTGAAACCTAGCAGGAAGCCGGTGCAGGAACTCTTAAGGTGGGAGTAATGTCATTACTTTAGCCAGGATACTACCTTCTGAATCCTGCCCATATTGAACATAAGGTCATTTACAAAAGAGAGGAGGCTATTTGTTTCATCTTGCTCATTTGTTCTTTTAATAGGTAATTGATCCAAAAAAAACCCTCATTTGGTTGTTTCCTGAGGGAAGCCAATGTATCAGCTTGTTCAGACTCCCACAACCCTTTATATAAAATGTGCCTTCTTAACAGGAGGGATGTCTAATTGCTCTTCTCTAAACTGATTCCAGAGCAGCCATATCTTTCATGTATTGTGTGTTACGCCGAGCCCACGAGTGGGCAAACTGGGCACAGTGAATCAAATGTTTCAGAGCTCAAGTTGCGGTCGTGAAAACGGGTTTATTGGAGGAATGAGTAGTATTGAAAACAATGGTGATCTAACAGTGGGAAACTGGGGTAAGGAATGTCCTGGGAAGCCTGGAAAATCCTGGGAAAAGATACTGGAAGAACCTGGAAGCGTCCTGGGAGAAGCCCCAAGAAGAACATGGGCCAGAGCGGCCACACACTCCCAATAAGACTCAAAGACAGAGCCCTGAGGGATGGTTGCTAAGGATGCTAAGTGTAGGTTTAGAAAGTGCTGCAAGTAGGATAGAGAAGTCCTTGGGGGAAAAAAAGTGAATTTATTTATATATAGGACACTGCCTGTCAGCAGTTGTCAGATGGGAAAAACAGTTTTCAATACACGCTACGCATGAGGTTCAAAGGTCAACCTAACATTGCGAATCACATCCCAAAGTCTTCATTTTGGATCAGAACTCAAGAATGGGCTTGATGTTGATGTTGGTAATCTGATTGTTGTCTGCATACAAATGGTGATTCAAACCACAAAATTGCAGTACTTGACCGAGGGTTAACCCATAGATAGTAAATAACAGAGGGCCCTATATTGACCCCAGTGTAACACCAAATATAACCATTACAATAAAATATTGAGAGCACTGTATGCATTTACAGTAACAAACTTTGATGAACTGGTGTTGAATTGGCTAAAAAGTAAATTACAGTTTTTATACTTCTTTCTTTTATAGTCTCACATATACAGTCTCTCAGTAGACCAGAGATGAAGAAAGATGATTGCTGTAGGTTTTGTTTTTCCCTTTTTAGAATTGCCAGTTATGTTTCTGTCCCTCAAATTTAGAAGTGTTGCCCTCAAGAGGTGTCTGCTTGCTTTCCTCAACATGTCCTGTCAAACCCATCATCTGCTTCTGCACACTACAGGTCCCACAATGCAACAGCCAGGTCTCAGGGATGAGTTGAGCCTAGAGCACCATTTGTGATAGATGTCATCTCAGCACCCCCTCTTTGGGAATCGTGGCCAAAGGCAGATAGACATTGATATCCCAACTACTGAGTTTACAGTGCTTTCTGAAAACAATGATATTGGTGGCTCTACTGAGGAATTCCCTCAGTTGCTCTTTGTGTTAACAATACTGATTCTTCTCTGTGCCAACTGCTCTGAAAAGGGACTAACAGTGCCTTCCTATCTTCCTGGCCTGCAGGTGAAAACGTTTGGGCCCCTGGGAGGTGGAAATGAAGATAAGCTCTCCATGTATATGGAGCTTGTGGATGGCATCTTTTTGCACAAGATCATGCTGCAAATGTAAGTACAGGTATACGCCACTGTCCTGGGTGATCCCAGGAACCTGTGGTCCTCTGGGCATCTGAGAGATGGCTGCATTCAAAAATAGCCAACGTATTCCTGATCCCTTTGTAACTGAATGCAGTGTCACTGCTGTGCAGTGCTCTACACACAAAAGATTTTGCTAAAGTTAAGTAATTAATATCATTAATTGGGGAAGATGTAATTGTAGTATTTAGGAATGGGAATCCTGAGATATTGGTATAATGTACTTTGGGTCAGTGGGACCTTGTCAAGTTCAGAAATGTTAATTTTATATTAATTAAATATATTGTATATTGTGATGCCATGACCTCACACTCACAACTCTTTCAATCTTGTTTTATATTACCTGAAGTGAGCTAAAAGTTATTACAGAGAACTTGAAAGGTGACTGGCTTAGAAGCACTCCTCATGGGAGTTTTGTGCAGGTGGCGATTGAGGGGTACATATATTTTCGGCAGTAGTCAGGTTAAACTGGAACAAATGTGTAGAACATTTTTGCCTTGAACTACAGAACAACCCTGGGGTTGTTTCTGCATAGTCTATTCACTTCTAGGCTGCCTGATGCTACACTTTGTGCCATTTTTGTAATAAGTTTAGGTCACAAGATGTTTATTTCACATAAAACCTAATTTCAAAAGCCATATGTGGCGTTTTACTTTGTTAACTCTAAGTTAGTGTCACAAGCTATAATCTTCCCAAACCTTATATTGTAGCATCCAAAACAGGTTCATTGGGTCTGTCAAAGGCAGTGAGCTTTGGTACTGTGGCAGAGGGCTCACAGCTCTAATGTATTAAAATGGGAACCCCCAGATGATCCACAGTATTTCTGTGCCTGGTGCAGATATCAAACAGATCTCGTTGCCTTCAAAAGGCTTTGCAGTTTGTCCACAGACAGTCTGTCAGATACTACTGCACTAATCTGCTTTAAGTTTGTGCTTGGTGATGTTTTTAACTCGCATGCAGTATTACTGTGTTGAGACTGCCAGTTTTAACAGTGTGAAGCTCTGACTAATTTCCTATCCTGTCAGCTCAAGAAGGCTTGCTGTCACACTGACTTGAGCAGATTCTGTTACTTCATGAGTGACTGAAACGTGGTCTGACTTTCATGTCTAACAATCACATCTTCACTTCCTCTGTTGGGCAGCTGTCGTTGTAAAGATAATTTAACTGAGTTGCTTTCCCTGAGACGAAATTGAATTTGAAAGCAATCGCAAATAAAAAAAGAGGGAGAAAAAGACAGACGTTGGAGGTCCTGCTTTGAAACTGGAGAACAGAAAAGTCTATTAAGTTTCTCTTAAAGTCTCTGCACAGACTTGGTTTTTATAATGTAAAGGTATACATTGTGCACCAGCCTGCAATCGTGTTTAAGGCTCTGGCTGTGTTTGAAAAACAAGTCTAGTTTGTTTTTAGAAGCTTAGACCTCTGACTTGAAACTGAGACATACCCTATATAAGTGTTCTCTGAACTATTATTGACCATAAATGAGAAGTGTAAAATATAAGCTAGTTGTATTTAGTTTGTCTGCAAACTAATGTGTTAAAATGTGTTGCAGAAATTAGATTGTTTCATAACTCAATACAGCACACAAAAGTCACTTTTTACTTTTGTGTAGTTTTGCACAAATAAGTCTTCACCTCCTGATTCTCAAATAAGAAATATCCAACAGCTGGCAAGGTGGGTGACTTTATTGTTGTTGAATAAATGGGATTTTAAAATTAATTCTAATTATTGCACGGCTCAAGAACTTTACATAACTTTGTAGTGGATGATTGTAAAATCCAGTGTTCTTCAAATTCTGCTAGCAAAAATGGCTCTTGGAATTCTTTAAGGTTTTTGTTCAGCACTGATACTGTTTGCTATCTCTAAGAATTTATGATATAATTTTGTGCCTCAAACTGCTTGCTACTCCAGGAAGTCAACCTCAGCAGCTTCTGTGGCTGAATGAGTGTCATGAGTGACCGATAACCTTTATTCAGAGACATTCATACCTGTGTAAAGACCATATGCTAGTCTGTTAGCAGTAACTGTGCACAAAAATCTGGTGGCTGATCAGTGACATGAGAGGAAGTCTGGGTCTCTCCCAGTGCTTCTCTGGGTTTGAAGTCTGACTAATTCTGAGTTGCAGGTGCTTGGGTAACCGCACATTCGAGCTGCAATATGCTCTGTACTCACAAACTTTCATTTACTGACAGAGGGCCTGCAAGATGGCTGAAATATTGCAACATGCACAATAAAACCATTCGTATTTTAAGCATTGGTTCAATTTTTTTTTCCTTATCTACCAAAAAATAGGTCAGATGTGACAATTATAAGGAGGCTCAGTGCCCACGATGTTAACGCATGCTTTTCCCTTGTGTAAGGAGCTCAGGACAGAGGAGACTCACTGAGCGATGTTGTATTCTTTTTGTCAGGCCTCCTGAGCGCTCACTGACAGTGTGGTTGCTATCGGAAATTAACATGTTTTCACGGTTTTAACCCAATAGCGTTTGCTGCTTGGGGTAATGCCCTCAGCTTTGAAAATACACTTCTGATTACCGAAGAGCTGAAAAAGTAATGTGACCCAGAGCTGTCATGGTACCAGTTTCTGTAATGTGTATATGCTGAGTCAAATATGCAAAGCCAGTGCCACTGAAATACTGTAGGTACTCTAGGGGTATCTTGCAGGCAGATTCTAAGCTGTTATGAGAGTCCCTGTGCTATGGTGGGCTCTGTGTTCAGTGTTTGTAATGCCTTTAATGTTTTCGTTTTGGCCAGCATGCTGTCGGAATTTAAATTTTTGGAGCATCCAAACTTGCCAAACAAACTGCTATGAAAGAGGACTGTTTCTTACTTACAGTTATTCAATTTATTTTTTCAACAGAAATGTTTGCTTTTCTTGATTTATATATTGCAAAGGTAGTGTAGTTTTTAAATGTTAGATTACTCCCACAGGATGCTTTGGCTTTTTGCTCTTAAAATGTTTCAGTGTTTCAATCTGTAATTAGACTGCACACATTCCTTCAGGTGTGTCGGGATTTGTTTTATGGTTTGTGAAGTTGCAGGGCTCCTCTGTTTCCAGTACAGCAGCACTATAGGCCAGAACATTCCTTGTTCTCCCAGAAACATGTCCTTTAACCCACTTTCTGGCGGCAGCACGGACTTCTCTTTGAATGGTGGCAAGGGGTTTAAATACCTCCTCTTCTGGAACAAAGGAAATGTTATCTGAGAAGTGAAAGAAAATACCCCTGTGAGACTTTGAAACACAGAGAGGCATACTTTTAGTCACGACAGGATACAGAGCTTCATGTTCTGTGTAACTTGCTTCTCCATCAGACCTGTGGTCATCATATAGGACATGCTTGGACTCCTTGAGCCAGTGTGATGTTCTTTTTTGGCTTTATAATTCTTGTTCCCCAGCTCTTTATCGATCCGGTTTAATTTCTCCACAGTGTATTTATAGTTTCAGATACTTGCCTCTGGTTCTTCAAAGCTTTCTGTGTTCTGTGGACAATATATTAAGTTACCAGCTCATGCCTAATCTCCGTCTAGTCCCTCTACTGTAGGTCTGTTGTCATGAGACAACAGTGTGTGAGCTTCTCTGGAGATTAGGTGTCCAATATGTCTTCATCTCTTCTGCGTTTTTTAAGAATTAGAAAAGGTGTGTTGAGAATAGATTGCATCTATTGACCTGAAAATTATACCAAAGACTTGCTTGTGCAGAGGCCTTATATCTTTAGCTCTGATTAATATCGAGTGAGTGGAATGGCTGTGTTCACTAACTCATCTGGCAGCCGGAAAGAGTGCTGAGTCAAGTCATAAATTTGTGTGTGTGTGCGAGTCTGAGCTCCTCCTGACAAATACTATGTCTCAGTACTCAGTGATGCTCTGAAATCTGAACTGCATTAAAGTAATTGGGAGCATGAAGGGGAAATGGATTAAAGCTAAATATTAGAGGAAAAATGTATAATTTTATGTTATAATTTTTAAAACTCTAGCTTTATGTCTTTGGCTCAGGTCTGTGTGTTTAATAACTGATGAAAACATACTTCTACTCTTGCCACTAGCTTTCAGCTCTCTCACCAGTTTCATGCTACAGAATAGACTTAAAACAGTAAATACTGTATGTAGTTTACTGCATTCACAAATGTGTATGAAATTGTACAATGGGTTCAGTTTAAGAATGTTTTGGCGCTGCATGCTAGCCTTAAGTAAAGGAGAGCCCGTCAGTGTGCCCATCAAAATAGACTGTCATAATCTTTCAGTGATAGAGACGTCTTATTTAAACTGTGCGGTATAATTCTTAAATAGTAGCATGAGGCTGTGTTTTGCATTTTTAGGCAAGCTGACCTTAAATTTCTAAACTCGTGCATCTGATCACAGAAATGCCTGCAGTTTAAGAAGACAGAAGAGTATATACTTGTCCCCTGATTAATACAAAAGAACATGAGAATGGTCATGCGTTAGGGAAGGCCATGTGGTCCGTACACGTCTGTCAGAGGAGCTCATCCAACCATTTCTTGACAGAAGCCAGGGCATCAGCTTTAACAGTATGGCTTGGCAGCTTGTGCCATGCTTCCGTAACTCTTTGTATAAAGAGATGGCGCCTGTCCTCAGTTGTAAATGCACTCCCGTGTAGTTCCCTCTTGTGTGTTTGTACAGTATTTCACCGTTGGTTCTGAAAGAGGATTTTGAACACTTGTCATAGTCTCCTCTGTGCAAGACTTTAAAGAATCAGTTCTTTTAGCCTGTGGGTGTAGGGCATTGTTTTTGAGCCCAGGAATATCCTTTACTGGAAAGTTACAGTTGCTTTGTTTCTTTCTGAAGTTACATGCTGGATTGCTCATTTTACAATTTGCAGTAAACCTCAAAAAAGTTCATTGGCCTGTTGTATGAATGTTCCCGGTTCCTTTGTAACAACAATCCAGTCTATGAAGGGAAACTGTTAATCCTGCAGCAGTTACTGGTTTTCTCTGTGCTTCTGGAGAAAAACAGGATTTTCAGATTTCAAACAGGTGGACATTAGTCACGATTTTTCTTCATCCGTTTCTTTGTGTGTTTCTTTCAGGTGGCTCTGTCTAAGACATTTTTAATGGCTGTTATTCCAGAGCTTTGTTAAATATTGCAGACTTTCCCTTTCCCTTTCCTTCTGCTCCCTTCTTTCTAGTGCTTTGCGAATGTTCTGCAGGCAAAATTGGGAACGGGAGAACGGGGCTAGAAAGAGGAGCAGACAGTCTGGCACGGCTCCTCGTCCTTCTGAAAGAGCGGGGATTGTTGGAGAGCCTGGCAGAAACAACAGAAAGGGCCGCGTTTCCTTCTATGGCCTTTCGCTAACTAAGATTCTTTCACTTGTGCCCAGCACATACAGCCAAATTTGGACCATTTGCATGCAGTTGCTACAAAACAAATGTAAATGATGTGAACGGGGGCTATTTATCCCTGTCCTTGCTGTGTACCACTTGCGAATATCGACACCTTCGTCAATACAGATCTGATATCTTTTGCAAAGCAGCAAAATGGTCTGTGGATGGGATGAAGGGTGTGTTAGGTGCCGTAGGGGAATATGTGACTGATGAGTTCTCTGCAGTCATAACCTCTGGTATCGCATTCTTGTTTGGTGAATCATCCTTCTCTACTGACTTGAGTCTTAAAGACAGACTTTCTCCCCCGTTACTTCTACTTGAACCATGGACATCCACAGAAAGCTCAGTGCTGAGGTGGTGTACTGTAGGTGCTTCCGTACATGTTTTTCGCATGTGAAAATTTAGCTTCCAGTGGTTCATGTGTTTAGTCCCAATTTATAATGATAACTCTTCATATTTATTTAATGAGAGTTTTTTCCAAATTGCAGTTCACAAGCCAAAATGACCAAGCTAAAGGTTACACAGGCCTATTTGATAGTCCATTCGGCTATTGCAGTGTGCCAGAATTGTTGTTGTTTTCCATTGTGTGGAAAGATAGACTGAAAGTACTTAAAAAAAGCAGGGAATTTATTTTAAAAGTGTAGACTGCTGGCCACATAATATAGGTCTGGGGAGAGAATAACTTCAACAAAAGCCTTGTCAGTACTCTCAGCACCTAACATTTATTCTGTTGTATAAAACAATGTGCATAGGCGCTTCTCGAATAAGCACCATATTGATAGATTGAAGCAGCTTTCTACCTTTTTTCGACACATTAGCAGAACCGTACTCACTTTATTGTGACATCTGTTTAGGTCGTTAAGGATTAGCTGTGAGGCCCTAATTAACATAAGATGACTGCTCTTTATCATGCAAATTCAAGACTTATCTGCCCCAGTCTCTTCTTTTATCTTGCGCTGGGATGTTATTGATGGTTTTTCCCGAGGTTGGAAAGCTGAATGTTGCAGTGGCTATGGAAAACCGTGTGTTCAGCGATTAGACCTGACGTCACAGAAGCTAGTGCAAGAGATGCAGACTTTTAAAGTGGACTAGACAGTAGGATTGTGGTTTATATGCTCTTAGCTGACTGTCTTTCCATTATTAATGGACTGCAGTATCCCAGCTACCAAAATTATTTTTACATAATCTTAATCATCCCCGTAAAACAAAATGCTGAGTTGAGAATTTCGAGAACGTCATGTTGCTAAGCAGTGACAGCTTTTTTTTTTTACTTTCAAGGATATTTTTCTATACTTAAATGAGCACATGACCTTTTTTTCTATGTAGTTTATTTTTAACGTAAATGTACTTTTCCTTTCTTATAAAACAACTTGCAGTTTGTCTCTAGCGCCAGTTTAATTTTGTTACTTTTTGTAAAGGAAGGTTTTGGAAGCATCTTACTGTATTTTTACAAATACGCACTTCTGTAATTCCCCTTGAATATAGAACAGATGAGCACAAATTGCAAACGTGTCATTACCGTCTTCCACTTGACTGTGGCTGTTTGTCTGTTTGCAATGATTTATAGTTTTTTTATCTTCTAAGAAGTGAAAATGGTCGCAGGCGTTTTTTTTTAATGTAAAGCAAAGGAATTTGGCCTCTGCTTCAGATGTTTTACTGAAACTTAGAATGTCTTTCTTAATTGTGCTTAACAGTAGTATATAGGAAGCGGTCATGTACCCGTTGCCCTTTTTATATTGCTTGGTTTTATTTCTGCTCAGCACATGGGGATGCTTTAATGTAAAACATGCTAGAAGTGTTTTTGTCATGAGAAAATTCAATAACTCTTTTGTTCTCCTTCTGCAGTGACCCAAGTCCTACAAATCAGCGAATGAATAAACACATCAACAATGATGTCAACCTGCGGATTCAGAATCTCAATATTCTGGTCCGGCACATTAAGCACTACTACCAGGTGAGCTGCTTTACCCTGCTTTCCTGACACTGCTAAGTGTTGCTGTAAATTTAAGTGCTTTTCCTTCTTAAAGGTTTATCAGACATTCTCTGACTGGAAATTAGAGGGTCAGAGTGCTGTGAGCTTGTATTTCTTATGTATATTGTCTCTATAGTCTTCCATGCCTAGTACATTATTGTTTTGGTTTTGATAATTATATGAAGGGAAAACATGGAATGTGTTGGTTGGAGTGGAGCAAATGTGGTAAAGCACCTCTCTCAAGGTACAATAGCAGGTCTGCAGCTGGGACTTGAACCTGCAACTCACCACACTCACAGCTTGTTACACTGTTACTGTTTCTTAGCTAGGATTCTGACTGGAAGTTTAAATGCTGCAATAGAGCAGTGCAAATTCATTTCCCACCCTTTATAATTCTTTCCATTGGAATGTTTTGCTCCGTTGTGTAGTTGTAGTGCTGTTACTATGCTCTTTAAAATGCCAGACCAACTGACTGCCAAAGTCGATGTCTGATAAGAGTACCGATAAAAAGCTGAAGCTTATGATGTCATAATAACAAACAGTTCCTTATGAATGATTACAGCTATCTTGTCCACCCTTCAGAAAAATGTTTAAAATACCATGTGTGATGAGTTATGACTTTCTTCCCTGCATTACACACAGTCAAAATTCAAAAATATCATTTTAGATCTTTAACATTTGATATATAGTTTAATTGTATCATTCTCCCCAAGAAACTATTCTTTTTATTGTCCAGCGTATTTATAATGTTTTTGCATTTGGAGTTAATAGGTATTGAAAAATGTCTGTGTACTGAAAGGCCCCTTAAATGTGCCTCTCTGTTTTCCTGAATCCTAAACCTAAGAACACCAGAAAGCTCTATGGATGTTAACTCTGTGTTTATTTCTTCAGTTGACACCTAAAATATAGACCTAAGCCGTTTTTGTGCACCAAGAGTCTTGTGGATAAGCACAAGAATCTTCCTAGCATCTAGCTGATGTCTGACAACGATTTTCTTGGCTACTGGTTGCTTAGCAATGACTCCAAACCTCAGCTTTCTACTGTACTCAGAAGGCTCTATGGTTCAATTTTTTTAGTTTCTATAAGTGTTGTCTTCTTATTCTTATTGCTTTCAATCCCTGTATTAGCTTTCTCAGGACAACCTGTATCATAGCTTATAAAAATCTGTGATAACTTGATCGGAAACATGTACATGTAATTAGAAACATTGTAATGAAATATTGCAGGAACCTCAAAGACTTGTGACTTGCACTTAGTCTGTAATTCTGCAACTATGGCCTTTAAAATAGCTTTAAAGGAGCCTTCAAATTGAATATTTGTAATTCTTAGAGAATATATAGATGGCACTAATAAACATTACCGTCATATAGTTTAAAGATTTTGCATGGATATTGATTTAAGCTTTGCAGAGGCTGTCACTGTGATGGTAGCATAGTAAGGTCCTGGTCTTTATGGACCACACACTACTCCAGTTAGTCTCAAAACTGGTGCAGTTTGAATTTATTTACACGTCCATCGAAAGGGATTATTTAGTGCCTTGTTCACGGGCAATAATTGTGCAGATTCACTCATGGGTTTACCGGTGTGAAGCTCTTTTGAATACCTGTAAGTCTTCAGCGCCGGCGGTGCAGGGGTTGATTAAGGGACATGCTGTCCTGCAGGTCTGTGCTGATTTCTCACAGCTGTGTTGTGCTAGCCTGTGTAGTTTAGTGCTCCCCTGAGACCCCTAGCTGTGCCAGGGGCTTTAATCTGATAAACGATCTTGCTGCAGACGTTCATGGAAGGGTGTTGGAAGGCCTTCCTTAAAGATATTAAAGGAAACCTTTGCTGATAAATTAAATCATCACTCTCACTATGAAGGATCTGCACAGGCTATTGATTTTAATGGCATAAATGCATTTGTATTTGGTTTATACATTTGGTGTATTTGGTTTATTTCACCTCATTTTTATTCATCATTTGCTTATGCTGCAAATATCTTGAGGGAAAGAAAAGGGAAAATTAGTTTTGGGGTCTGGTCAGGAATATTGTACTTCCTGGTAGTCCCTTTGAGACCTTTTTCTCTATACAAACCACCAAACATTCCATTGAACTTCTGGGAAGTTCTTTCCAATGAAAAGAGTTTACTTTTCACAGAAACTATGTTGCTTTTTACATGAACCGCCTTCTTTTCTAAATAGATTGTGCCTTTTTAGAACCACAGTGAAGACACTGTTCCCTTTAAAAAAGGCACTGCCATACATTCAATAACACTCTGCCTGTGGACTGGTGGCGACTTCATGGTGTACCCCATCACTCGAGATGACATCACAGCCCACTGCCTGTGAACGGCTGGTGGTCTCATGTTGTATTCCACTAGTGATGATATCACAAATTCCTTCAAAACCAGTGGGCTAGACCCCAGCACCACTACCCTTGTTATTGTAGAACACAAGTGAATCCCAGGTGATCGATACGTTGCATTTTCACTTTATGAAATGAACAGCATATTTGTAGCTGAGCACAAGCCCCTGAACTCAGAGCTTTTCTTTCCCAAAAGGGACTAGTGCGTTCCACCTGAGTGGCTAGGCCTGTGAGATGCACGTGGTGAGTGCAGGGCACAGGAAATGTTGCCAGTGAGAGGTGGGTCATTCAGCCTGTCTCCCTTGTTTAGTTGTCAGTAGTTTAATGCTCCAAGAATCCTCCCGTCATGGAGGGGCATGACCTTTCTGGTGCTTGGACACTCTTAAAGCCCTTGGTGGCGGCAGTATTGATTAATAGCGGGGTTGAAAATTGATTGATGCCATTAAGAACTTGGTTGGAATGAAGACGACGTTGTGGTGTCTGTGGGACCTGGAGTGAGTGTTGCCGGTTCACGCGCCTGAAGGGTTAAAAATTGATGCCTTGAATCTTTTAGATCTACAGTGCCTGTGCTGGGATCTGCACCTTTTCTACACCTGAGATCTGGATGAGGGGCTCTTTCGCCGTGTGATTTATGAACAGTTGTTAATCAGAGACTCATTAATGCTTGCTTCTGTCCAGAAGGCACTGGCTGATAACTAAGGGCAGTTGTATATCATGAGATCGTGATTGTTTAGAGAGCAGTATTTTTGTCGTGGGAGTGGAAACCGATAAAACAGGAGTATTGTAGATGGCAACACTAATGCTCCAGGAAAAATGAATGGGGCTTGTTTAGCGTTAAACAAAATGGAGGACTCATTAACATTTGTGTGGAGCCATACAGTACAGCAAAATGTATATAATTGTTTAGGCAACATGCAGCAGAATCTACCAGTAACAGCTTCTGCTGTTTACCCTCCAATTTGAACTTTTAAGTGTTATTTGTGTGTGTAATACCACTCCCAGGAAATGTGTACAGGGCTTGTTTCTCAGCACCTAACTGAAACATTGTTTCCTTCACTGCATTTGAGACAGACCAGTTTTGATTGATTTACAGTACGTCTGTAAAGGCCTACTTGCCCTGAACAAATACAGGAGAAAGAAAGTGCTCCCTACAAACAAAGCCCTGTGTCTTGGCAACGAGAACCAGTGTTGTGTTGCTTCACCGCCCCCTCCCCTACTTATAAATGTCCGTTAAATAGGTGGTTGAAACAAGGTGTGGTTAACCACCGCAGCACTGAATTGGATTCTATCAGGCACTTTGATTAATAGAGATGAAAAGAATTTTTGTCAGCTGTCTTTTTTACTGTAAGGGCACTTGATGGATAAAAACTACTCCCTGAAAGTTTTGTTCCAGCACTAGTAAAAATAAGCTGTGTTATGCATAAGCAAAATATTTTAAAGCTGGGAAACGTGCTCAGAACATGATTTCATCAGCATGCAATTGGACTGCAGGTTCACATGTGAGGTATCTGCTGAGTTTGGCCGCACTCTGGTTTCTTGACTTGTCTGTTTGTTTTGATGCCTGTCAGTGGAAGGGTGTCTTTTGGTGCCTGTTGTGAAAGGCAGGGCAGGAACAGCTGCTGCTTTCCCAGAATCCCCTGCCTGTCTGGGCCTTGACAACCTGGCTTTTAACAACCCCTGGGGATCCTCATCTCCTTCGCTGTTTTTCCTCTCTCTAAGGAGCCTCTGCCCTTTTCATCTCCAAAGAGCTGTCTGCTTTCTACTGTTCTGTCTCCTTTTTGGTCTGTTGCTGTGGGACCAAGGGGAAGGCGGGGTTTTGTTTGTGCTGTATTGTTTAACCAGAGAAGCCAGTTGTGTCCCTAGGAAAGTACATTTCTATCAAATGTTTAATGGCATGAATGCGGCTTCCCTCTAATTAGTCTGCACAGAAAATATGCAGTGCGAGTTTCACCGTTGTCAAAGACTGCAAACTTAGAAAAACAATTTTGGTTAAATCACATTTATGATATTCTTATTGAATTAACATAATGCTGAGGTACATTTTATGACTGGATTGTGTTCCTTGTTGCTTAGTGTCTCAAAGCGGGATTGCTAGTCTTTTGCTATTAATAACCTTTCTCGAAACTGTGTTCAGAAACTTTTCAGAGAAAGAAAGGAATCTAAAGGACTTTGTCTTATGGTACATGCTGGGCTTGTTCAATATATAAAATGCTTTAGAATGAAAACTTGCTTGGAGACCATAAATTTGGACTAGTATATTTCCAAATGTATCACTTATGTGAGGGAAATGGAAATATCGCAAAGACTGACTTTGACTGCGTGCTTAGGCTGGAATGAACAAACAGCCTACAGTGCTTGTACCCATAAACATGTTGTGATGGGCTTGAGAATGTATTAACAGTTGAGGAGCATATTAATACTGGCCAGACCTCTAATATACAACTAAATCATGTGGTGTTCTAATTGCGTCAGAAAGTGACCAGCAGGATGCAGGAATGGAGGGAACGAGTATAAGCAGAGGTTGTGGGATCACATGTGCATGGTTACGCAGGGAGAAACGGAAATCATCATAATCCACTACCAAGCTGTGAGCGGAGTTCGGACTGAACAAGAAGTGTTTTTCTTTGCAACAACAACTT